TCTTAGATACCTAAAAGGAATTTTGAATTTTGGCTTATGGTATCTTAAGTGTCATCAATTTCCTTTATTTGGATACTCGGATGTTGATTTTTGTGGTTGTAGAATAGATAGAAAGAGTGCAACGGGTATATGTAACTTTCTTGAAAATTGCTTAGTATCTTGGTTTAGCAAGAAACAAAATGCTATTACCTTGTCTACAACCGAAGCGGCATATGTAGCCGTTTGGGCTTGTTGTGCTCAATTATTGTGGATGAAAAACACATTGAATGATTTTGGATTAATGTATGATTGTGTGCCTATGTATTGTGATAACACTAGTACCATAAATTTGACAAAAAATTTCATTCAATATTCTAGGACAAAACACATAAACATAAAGTATCATTTCATTCGCGATCTTGTTCATAAGGGTGAAATTTGTGCTCAATATGTCTGTTCAAAAGATCAAATTACTGATATTCTCTAAAAAGCCTTACCACCATATCAATTTGTGTCTTTGAGAACAAAATTTGGCGTTTCAGAAAAAATATTCTAAAAATTCTCTAGTCACTCTTTATCGGACGTCCGATGTGTTAGAACGGAAGTCCGATAGTGTTCTTCATCATTGTTCCAAAAAGTTCTGGTTCGGACGATTGTGCTGGACGCCCCACTTCGTTCGGCCATCCGACACTGGAAAGAAAAATATTATAAAGCAGTTTTCTTCCTCATTTATTTCACTCTCAACCACTATATCGGACGCAACTCTTCATATTCTCCTACATTCAAAATTCAAAATTCATCTCATCTGTGATCAAGTTCCAAGAAATTGAGTTGTCAAACACCATTACACTCCTATTGCCCATTCATTACCCCTCATAACTTCCTCTAACTGCCAACTACCCCATAAATCCCAATTCTCACCCGAAATCCTAACCACTCAATTTTCACTATCTGTGGTCGATTCAAGCAGTCATTGCAGTTCATCTATATTCGTAGTTCATTTTATTACACACTCGCATCATACTCTACAACAAAATCATCTTGCATTGCATCATGGTGAAAACTAGAGGAGGGTCTGTCAATGCCGGACGCATCACAAGGTTCAAGTTAAGGGATGAAGACATTGAAATTGTTGAGCCATCTACCACTAAATCTCCAAAGAGAGGAACAAAGAAACATGGTGGAAAAGGGAAAAGTTCGGTCCAAAAGAAACATTCAGAAAGAGCCAAGAATTGAGCCAACTGAGCAAACTCCTCGTACTGAAACTACTCCAGAGGCTTGTGCTTCCAGTTCTCAGCCACAAAACAAAAGGAAAAGCTCCAATAACTGAAGAGGATGATGAGAAAACTGAAGAGGAAGAAGTGGATCCACTCAGGACTGCCTAGCAAGGAGAAAACCCGGATCGTCCAAGATCACCATTTAGGCACTTTTAGGCTAAAACACTTCATGATTAGGATGATAGTTCATAATAGGCTTTTAACATCTTTTGCATTTTAAACATTTCGTATGTTCTTTATTAAGGATTCTATTTCCCTTCCTTTGCTGGTCTGTAAAACTATTTGGTTATCTTTTATGTTTTGAATGAATGTTGCTTTAGTGGATTATTCCTTCGTTTTGGATGAATGTTGCTTAATTTAGTTTGGCCTCTGATTTCTGATATTGACTGCCAATAATAGATGTTGTTCATGGTGCTATTGACAATTGCTGGTTGTTGCCAATATTGATGATGCTGTGTTTTGGTTTCTGGTTTTGCTGATAATGATTGATTATTGTTGATAGTATTGTTTTTTGAATACTAGTTTCTGGTTGATCTAATGATGACAAAAAGGGGGAGAAATGGATACTGATTTCTAATGATGTCAATCTGGTGATAAGTGTGATAAAGGGATATCATTCTGAGGGGGAGTATTCACTCCTTGATGCATTAAGTAAGGGGGAGTTATGTCTCAATTACTTTCCTACATCCATTATTTTGTCATCATCAAAAAGGGAGAGATTGTTAATCTCAGTTTGTACCTTTTGATGATTACAAAACAAATGGATGTTACTAATGATCTCTCAATAGACCTTTTCAGAAATGGAGCAAAACAGGTTCAAAGATTAAGCACAAAGGATGCTGAAGCTGCTGTCGGACGCACAAGAAGACTGGATCGGACGTCCGACAACCATTGCGCAACTTCGGACGCATAAAGAACTCCACCCTCGGACGTCCGAAGATATTAAGTCATTCCTTCTAAGCTCACTGACTTCGATCGGACACATATCATCAGAGCACCGGACGTCCGACAAACATTGCGACACTTCGGACACAAAGCTTTGGAGACATAGGACGTCCGAAAGAATTGAAGAAAAATTCTCAGTTTCACTTCATACTTTCGGATGCATACACTGAAGGCACCGGACATCCAAAACAACTCAAGAAGATTTCTTGAGCTCACTGCCCACGCTCGAATGCAAGAAATTAGTCTACCGGACGTCCGACACTGACAACGGCTAGTTGACTCTTTAACTACCTTCTATCTGTTGGGAGCATTAATTGAAGAACTTTTTGATCTCATATAAATAGAACAAAGTCAACTACTTCAAATAACTTTTGCACATTGAAACTACATTAGATCAAGAGTGATTTTAGTAGGAAAATACTTTTCAAAGGATATTTGTAATCTTAGTTGTGAAAATTTCGTGAAGCTTTTCTAGTGTGATTCAATTACTTCAATAGTGTAGTTTTGTGAGAGTTATTCGAGTGATAGTAAAACTTTCTTACTTGACCAAGTGTGGCTTGGAGCAAGGAGGAAGTGATCCTTCCTTTGTACACAAAGATTAGTTGTAAGTTGATCAACTTGAAGAAACTTGCTCACTAAAGTGATATTCAAATTCAAGAGGAGTTTGGCATTTGGTTTGATATTCTTTCTCTTTTTACTTACTGTCTTGCTATATAAATTGCTCATCTCTTCTACTCACAAGCATTTGTGCTTTCTCATTAATTGCTTCATTGTGTGGTCTTTTAGAAAAAGAGGGCAAGTATTCAAAAAGTTACTCATAACTTGGCCAGTTTTTTAAAACTACCTAATTCACCCCCCTCTTAGGTTGTATTCGATCCTTACAAATACAACTTTTGATTTGTACCTAAATTATGCTTTTGGGTTGTTCTTTCCAAAAACTAGGTTCTCTTTGTCTTGAGGGTAATTGTAAATTTCTTTATGTTTGATGCGTATAATTGAATGAATTTAAAGACATCAATCTGTCCCATTTGGTGTTAATATACAAAGAAGAATTAAAATGTCATAATTGAGGCATTTGCATTACTAAATTATACAAACCTACACTATATAAGCAAAACAATGGTTGCAATTGGATTACTAACATCCACTTGATACATTTCCAATCCTAATCTAGAATCCGACATTATATTATCTGAGAAAATCCAAACCATCTTCTTACAAAAGAAAGAGTCTACATACTTTGCAATTAAATTCCATTTTGACAAAAAGGATTTATTTCCCACAAAATACAAAATACAAGACTATCATCAACCTTCTCATGAAAATTCAACAATTTCTCAATTGACAACGTTTGTCCAAGTTTAGCACCACTTGTCCTCCAATGCATGTCCATTCCCTTTTTCCAATCAAGTCAAAACTAGTAACATAGCCAACACCATGATAATGGTAATCAATTGGAGTGTTTGGATAGAGTATTATTTGAAATAAATACTGTAGCGCCTTTTATATATGATATATGTGAGATAAAAATATGATAGGAATATAACAAGATGGATTAGAAAATGTGTTTATGATACAAGTAGAATATTTTTTTACTTTTAAACATTTTCTTGCATCATATTCAGCCTTCTAAATAAAACCATGTACAATAACAATTGTGCTTGCACATATTGGTTCATCATCTGTCCAATCTTCTAGAAAAGCACGAGATTTTCCCCAATTAGTTAAATAAAGTTAAGATTTTTGTATGTTGAATCAAAGGCAAATAACAAAATTTTCACTAACCATAGAAGACGACCAAGAAACCTTCTCCTATAATTATTATCACACAAACATGGTGTTAAATTATAGTCTCTTTGCTTTGCAACGATATTATTATAGTATAATTTTTGCTTCTCATTTTTTTTGGGATAATTAGAAAAAGAGAGAAGTCGATTTACTAAATGATGAGTTTTCTCACCCCCAATTTTTTTTTGTACTAATTGAATGCACTAATAATATGATGCGACTCTGTCATGAAACAGATTTAACTAAATAAAGCTAAAAGCGTGGAAGCAAGAATCACGCCCTTATCAAGATGAGAAGGCGTGCACTCAGCAAAGAAGGCGTGGAAGTTACCAAATGAAGCAAGACAAGGCGCGAAACCATAATCACGCCTTTACTGGGAAAATGCTCAAGAAACGTGAGCTCAGAGAGTAAGTGGACCTACAACAGATTCTGTTAGCCAAGTCACGTGGGCAAGTTGGACCAAGAGAGCTGAGGAAATTCGTTACTAGCTAGCTATATATAGTCATGATCAGAGAGAGGAAAAGTTGGAATTTGTTAGTCATTGTTAGGGATCATTCCCTGAGCATTGTTCCTTCTGATTTCCTTCATTCTTGTTCATCCCCCTTTCCTTTTTCCTGCAAATTCTGTAATCTTCTTATTCCAATCAATATAAACACCATTAAGATTGAATTCTTATCAGTTCATTATTGATATTTCTTGTTATTATTATTAAGTTCTGAGCAAGTTATCATATCCAATCCAATTGTGAGCAACTCCATTGTCTGGTTTCTGTTCGATACCATCACAGACTCCATCCAAATTAGTTTTCTTAGCCGTTAGTCAATTTTCCAAATTGATCAAAAATTGAAATAAATAGGACGAAATGTATGTGGAGTGAAACTTCAGGGATAGAATTGATTTAGCCTTACATTCGGGGAAAAAACTGCAATTGTTTCTTTTGCATTCCAGACCCTCGTAAATTTACCACCTATCCCACTTGACCTAGCTAACTTTTTCACAGTTCCAGTTAAAACCCAAAACTCTCCTAGACAAAAATCCACTACAGAGAAACAGAAAAAAGTGCAGGGACTTGGCTAAAACAGTGCAAAACCCAGGCCGCCGCCACCATCTCTACCGCCGCTGCCGCCGCCACCACACCAGCCATGCGGAGCCTAATTTCGAGAGGCAAACTGTGGAAAAATTTCTCGACCCATTTGGGTTCTTCTTCTACTACTACTGCTATTGGGAGGTCTACAATTAAGGATCATCGGCGAGGGTACAGTTTGATTCCGATGGTGATAGAGCATTCCTCAAGAGGGGAAAGAGCTTATGATATTTTCTCACGCCTATTGAAGGAGCGAATCGTTTGCATAAACGGACCCATTTCCGACGACACCGCCCACGTCGTGGTTGCGCAGCTCCTCTTCCTTGAATCCGAAAACCCTTCTAAACCCATCCATATGTACCTCAACTCTCCCGGTGGCGCCGTCACTGCCGGTCGGTTACCACCTCTTTTCCTTTTTTATTTTTATTTCATTTTTTTAATAAACAAGTGAAAGTATTTCATAAACAGCTAGCATTTCCATTTCATTGCGGCATTTCTGTTTCTTTGTTAATTTTGGGGTTTTGTTCGTTGAGTGTAGTACCTAGCTGCTTTAGTTTGAGAATATAATGCTAACATCTTTTTTTATATGTTTAATTTAAAAAATGTCGAAATTTAAGAAAAAATGTGTGGGAAGTGGGCTTTTTTCTTGCCATCTTTTCGTTGTATGATGTCGTATGATGTCAAGAATTCATCTTTTCCCTGTCATAACTATTGTTTCGTTTGCAAATTGTGCTTATTGTTGATTTAGGTAAATTGTTTGCGTGACAGTTTGTTTATTGTTCTTGTTCTGCTATATGTGTTTATTGCGCAAAATACAAAAAAATAATTAGTGAATTGCAATCCCAGAAGCTTGTGGATCTATTTTGCTAATGTACCATTAAAAAAAAAAAAAGGAAAAAGAGATCGCCAGGTGAAGAAAGAAAAAAAATCTTGAAGTAGGGTACTTTGGTTGTGAACAGGCTCGACTTTTGGGGGAGGGAGAGCAAATAGATTAACTAAACTGAAATTCTAATGTTTTAAAAACTTGTAAAGGTTGCTAAGTGGCCTCAGCTCTGTGGATATGTTAATTCAAAACATTGAACTTGTATCCAACCTCTGAGCTATAAATTCAAAATTCTTGTCAAGGCTCTTACTTAGTCTAGAGATTAAGATTTCAATGTCTAAAATGGTAACGTGCTTTCTGGTGCTTATGTTTCCAGTTTATATACTTCAATATGGTTTGTTAGATCAGAACATTATTTTTGTTCATGATATTTCACCATACCAAGTTTGAAGCATTTTAGTCGATTTTTTGACTATGTGGGTTAAATGACCGGAGCTTGGAAATATTCATTTTGAAGCATTCATTATAAAATTATAACAACTTTGAATTGCTTTCACTCCTGTGAATTTGTAAGTTCAAACTAAAATTTCATGACCTGTGATTTAAATATGTTCTTTCTTTTGGTTTTGTTGGGTGTATTCGTGTGTCTGATGAAGCAGTAATTTAAGAATAAAGAAATTATGAGGACTTGTAGGAGTGAGGTTTTTCCTTTTTGCTTTTCTTCACTTGTGCCTCTTTTTCCATTGCTTAATTATCACCATAACCTCTTTTTAATGGGTTTTCATGTAGTTTGTGATCAATGAATTTTTTTGGTCAAGAATTATAAGACTTCACTTTTTAAAAAGATAGTGATGGTTATATTTTTCCAAGCCAGAAATAGAAGCGTAGAAGAAAAGAATGGGAATGATAGGGAAACCATTTTCATGTTTTATGTTTCTTGTCTTAAATGAAGTTGAAATTTTTTTTCCTTTTTAGTTGTCACTGTGTTGAAGGAAGTCAAGATTAGGTCTGGTAGTCAGAACCTAGATAAGGATAGATGTTTGAAATACCTATCCAGTGGAAAACAAGAATAATTAAAATTTGTTGAATATGTTGTGTAGAAAAACAAGAAAAGCTGTGGAACTGCAAACTTAGTGAAAAGCGATTTTTTTTTTGTTCTTCTTTTTCCCCAATTTCTTGCTTGTGGCGGCTATTTGTCTGCATAGTAAGAATGTGGAGGAAATGTTTCGTGTTGCATTAAATAGGAAAATCTGCTCTGGACAATTAATAGCGGCTTACCTCTGTAGGTCTTTGTCCTTGCTAGCTCCAACAATTACCAATCTAATATGATAATATTCTTCAAGTATTTTAGATACCTTTTCTGTGTGCATTTAATTTTTTAAGATTAAAGAGTTGGAGATTTTTTTTTTTTCAATTCACTTTTGAGAGCGTTATCTGGGAGTCGTAATTGAAGTTATATAACGAAGTTGCTGCATGGATTTCTAATAATGCTTCCCACTAACAATATGTAGGTCTTGCAATCTATGATACAATGCAGTACATCCGCTCTCCCATCAACACTATATGTATGGGTCAAGCTGCTTCAATGGGTTCTCTTCTTTTGGCTGCTGGTGCAAAGGGTGAAAGGAAATCACTCCCTAATGCTACCATTATGGTCCATCAGCCTTCTGGTGGCTATAGTGGACAGGCTAAAGATATGACCATTCACACAAAGCAGATAGTTCGAGTTTGGGATTCTCTGAATGCTTTATATGCAAAGCATACTGGGCAACCTTTAGAAACAATTAAAACACTTATGGACAGGGACCATTTTATGACCCCAGAAGAGGCAAAGGAATTTGGAATAATTGATGAGGTTATAGATCAGAGACCAGTGGCCTTGGTGACTGATGCTGTTGGGACAGAGAAATAATATTACTTTGAGATAATACAGAAATTCCTTGTCTTCATGTTTCTACTTATCAAATTTCATCGTTTGCCTGAGACTGAAGTTTCACCTATGCACATGAAAAACAATTTGATGTATTTATTTTGGAGTGGTTTTGGAGGATGGGCGGTAGCGCTATCTTGGTGATGATTTGGGTGTTTTTGAGTAATTATTTTTTGAATCTGAAGTCTGGATATCCAGTTTACCTGATGAAAGCAGTTGAGTGATGTGTAATTTTGCTGAAGAGTGTGTGCAGTTTGCCAGCTAATTTGGAGTTGTAGATAAATGAAGAAATGAGTTAAGAGGAAAATATAATAACTGTACATAATTTGAACAACTCAGGATAAATTATTAAAGTCCTAAAACACATGGGTAAATTTTTCTTGGTGATTTTGTTTCATTTTTCTCTTAGGCGGATATATTGCTCCATAGAGAAAATTTGTGGTTTATTTATTTGTTTCTGTATTCCATTTTGTTTAGAGTGCAACACAAGAATCAGTGATTCTTTTCATGGTTCAACTTTTCTTAATAATCTTGAGGATTTTACTCAATCTTTGCATGCTGACTCCAATGGATTATGCGCATCATAGAGCAGCCTTTTCATCTGCTTGAAGCCTGAGTTTGAGTCTTGTTTCTGTGGTTTTAGTTTCCTTCTGAGACATATGAATAACATCGAAAGAGGGAGAAAGAGCAAAAAATAAAAACAAAAATTTATAATATTTTTCATATGTAAAGTCTACATTGGATATTTTTAAGATTATATCTAAAGATGAAGGAAAAATGACTCACAATTTTAAGTATAATTTCATGTTTATTTTTCCTTGATTTGCATTAAATATCATTTCTTTGGAGCTTGAGTCATCTTTGATGTGAATGTAATTGCAATGCCAATCTTTAGAATGTAATGGATAATTGTGGTTAGAATTTTTTGTGTTTCACTCATCTTTAGTGCAAGAGAAACCAAGGAATAAGAAACTAAGGAGCAAAATGAGAGCTCAAAACTACATAATCCAGTTTACTACATGGGTCTGCTCTTGATCTTTTGGTGCGTCAATGAACAACCTTTTGCAGTTTACTGTGTAATCCCATCTCCATTGTGATATTTTCCGTTGTTCGTAAATCATTTTGTTAGTATAGCTAGCTCGTGTTATCAGACAGAATGTTGTGAAATAGGTGACTATTAACTTTTTGTTTGTGATGCTGCTGGATTGCTGATTTTTTTGGAGGAGTTACTTAACATACTCCAGAAATTTGAGTTTATGACTTCTTCCTACGCCAGAAAGCGCGACGTGATACAATAATAAAAGATTATCTACTCCAGCTTTTTTGATGCCTTTGCAGTTAGATCTATCACTTTGCATCAATAATTTGCATGGATAATTTTGATTCACTCTACAATTAAAAGATCAGTGCTATTGCTTTCTCATTTTAGGACTGATAATCTCAAGAAATCTGAGAATACATGTGTCAGTCAGCCTATACTAGAGCATGAAGAGAGAAGAAGCTAGGGAGAAGATATAAAACTGCTTGAGCATACTTCTGAAGGCATACTTTGTAAACTAGGATTATTGAACATGTTTCCTTATGGAGTTCGGCTATTGAACGTCTTACAGTGAATTTTGAAATGATTATTAGTAATACCTGCATTTGGATGTTTCCTCATGGAGCTCAAATGGATTATGTGTAAACTAGGGCTTTGCATTTGGAAACTAGGATTATTAGTAATACCAGCATGACTTACAGTGAATTTTGAAATGATTATTTATAATTACTTGTAGTGGAATGCACCATGAAAGTTTTGATTTTAATCCCTTCAACAAATCCAGATTTTTTCTAATTGACAGACAAGACAATCTGAATGCCTCCCTGTTCACTCTTCATAAAATACATAATACTTCCATGGATATCTATAGTGATAGAGGCCTCTGCTAATGTTCATTTTTGTGAAAAGGTATACCATTTGAGCTTCTGATGAAAGTATCTGAAGTTTTATACTTCAAAACTCATGGTTAATTCAGCACTGGAAAGTGATTGTGGATATGATCGGATCACAGAACTCAAGTCATAGAATATTTAAGAATCAGAGATGTTTCAGAACTTTTAGCTCTGAAATTTTGAGCTTAAGACTGTTGAATGAGTTCAGAAGGAAGCAAGAGAGAAAGAGGAATAAGAAGCTCCAGAAATTCCAACTAGAGCTTTTACACCACCTAAAATCAAGTTTCCTTCATTTCTTAAAGAAAGCACGAAACATGAACTCAAGAGAACATTATTTCCTTCAATCCCTCCCTTTCTAAGCTTTTGCAAGCAACATGTATATAGTAAGAGCTATATTTGTGTGCCAAAACTTCTTTAGAATTTATGGAACTCTTAAGGTAAGAAAATGTAGCAACTAAGAAAGCTTAAAGCTAAATTATGTTAAAAGTCAATCTAGATTTGACTTTTTACATTCAACCCTTGACTCCTGAAAACTCTAATTTCTGATGGTAGAAAATACTATAACTAGTACATTTACATAAACCTAAAACACATTTCTATGAACAACTGAGAATATCCAGAATTGCACGATTTTCACGGATTGTCCAAACATCTTGGTGCAACTCTAGGCATTCTGCATTGATGCTTGTTTTATCATTATCAAGATACTTTGACTAAAAGCAAAAGGACTTTTAACTAAGAGCAACAAACGTGAAATGAGACCTGGATATTTTTGCATTCTGCTTATCTATTATCCAACCTTTGGGCTTACAAGTCTGATTGAATGTATTTGATGTGAAAGATTAGTTTTGTGTTAAAGGCATGAGTATGGCTTTTGTTTCTTTTTGCTGTTGATAACACAAGTGGTTGACTTCAGTTTCAAAATTTTTGAAAAGGATGAAATATCCATCCATGGATACAGAATAGATTGTGGTAGTTCCAGCGTTCAATGGTGAAAGCCTTAACATGTTTCTGTTTTCTATATTTAGCTCTGAATGTCTGGGCTTTAGAAGCCATAGCAATTTTGCTGGAACCTTCTGAAAGTACGTCATAACTTGTGTTGAAAGCCAGATGGCTAGCCTTGAGACCATAGACCTTCTATTCATTGCCATGCATTTGGATGTGCAACATACTGCCCTGTCATCCACAACTTGCTATTCATCTAAATCAAAACTTACATTAGATTGCAGTACACATACACAACATTTCTGGACAAGTTCCCAAAGACTTGAGCAATTTAGGCCAACTAGGCCTGAATGACCTCTTAAATAATGAGTGTCTATAGTTGTTGGTCAGCTTACTGTGGTTGCTTGATTTTGAAACTAATAGATAAGAAGAGGAACCGATCATTCTCTGTTGCTGTTTTCCTAGTGAAACATTGTTGATATTAAGTCAATAAGATGTTTTTTGTAAAATGCAAATATTGAGTTAATGCTTAAGTGAGTTTTTTTTTTTTTTGTGGGGTCTAAGTTGAAGAATATTCATGCCAATTTTAAAGTCTATAGTAAAGAGGCTATACATGATATTATCGACTACCAGTATAGAAGTAGTCCATCACTTGTAGTAGCTGGATAGACTGTTTTCCAACTACTCAATCTGCATGAAATATTAGAGATTACTATTGAACACATTTCCTTCCATAGTCCAGACTCTCATATCTCAAATAGTTCACTATGCATTTTGCTCAAAATAGAATGCAAGACTAAGATACTGGAGTGAACATCGAAGGTGTAGAAGGATGCAATATCCTCTTAACTGTAATTTTTTTTTTCTAGGTATACTGTAATTAGATGATGGATCTTAAGCTTATATTCACTGGTGAACACAGCCTTGATGGTCCTGCTCAGAATGAACTCCTTTTGTCCTATCAGTGTGAAGTAGTTGCTGAATTTCGCTTTTTTTTGGCCGATTTTTATTTTTTTATTTTCATTTCCATCTATGGTTGATCTCGAATGGAATATATAGCCTATCTGTATGTTATGTGTCCTAAGAAAAATTGCTTTGTGATGTTTGTTTATAGAAACTGTTTTGTAAATGTTTATTTATTTGTTTCCGACTTGTTGAGTTAATCTAAGGATAAGTAGTTCTGAGCAATAGAAAACATCTTTCTATTCATGCTTTTGGGGCATATTTCATGAACTCTTCCGAAGGTTACAGCCAAAACCTGCTTGGACTCACGAGATTAGAGGGTGTCTGACATTTGGCTCTTGTACATCTTAAATTCTGCTGTACCTAGGTCTTTCATGGTGCATCTTTTCGGACTTATGGCCCGTTTGGAGTCATGGTAGCTTATTGAAAAAACACTTTTCCAATAGAGCTTTTAATAAAAGCGCTTATTATGTGCTTAAGTGCTTTTAAATATACTGTTTGGAGACATAATTCAAGAAGTACTTATTATATTGGATAATGTGCAATTGAAAATTTTTAAATGTATTTATCTCTTTATTTAGTTGATAATATGGGTAAAGTGATTAAATATAATGTTTTATTTTATGAATCACAAAAGCTACTCTAAAAGCACCAAATTTGAGCTTTTGCTAAAAGTGCTTCTAGCACCAAAAGTTCCACTCCTAATTTTATGGGATGATGTTTACCAAATGCCTCAGAAGTACTTTTAGCACCTAAAAGTGCTTTTTTGGTAAAAGCACCACAACCCCAAACAAGGCCTTAATCTACACCCAAGGGTGCTTGCTTGAATGTAGTCCCTAGATATAGTTACAAAATCCCATTTAAGTGTAGAAGCTAAAAATCATTAAAGTTTTGAAATTGTCCATAATAGGATGATATCCTGCGACATGGTAAGACTTGTATCATTAGCACTGGGCTTTAAAATAACTTATTGCAACTTGCTAGGGGCTAGGCGTTTACATCCTCTGCTTGGGATCCTCTTAGCTTGCCTTAGAACATCTATTTTGGTGAAACGAACAGAGCTTATGTGATATTTGATCGTTTTGATTGCAATTAATGTTTGGCAAGAAAGAAAAATTCTGTTCTTTTCATTTTTGTAGAATGAGTTGTATCAGCACACAAAAGGTCACTCTACTAGCTTGCCTTCTTTAGAATCTTCTTGAAAGTCTTTTTGTTGAGGTTTGAAGGAGCAATTGGTGTTGTAGGAGTTTTGTGGAACTTCTTGCTTTGGAACCTGATCACATTTCCTTTAATCTTGATGCAGGAAACTTCATATCAGGACGGGCATTTTATGAGAACTAAACGTAGGTATATCTTTTTCGTGTATGAAGTGATCAACCTTTGAGAATCAAGCATGCATCT